CAGCGGCTGCAGCGGTACCTGGAACGGGAGGATCCCGTGACTCCGGGAGCTGGGGCTCGGGGGACACCCCCTCCCCCTGCACGCCATCTCAGCCTCTCTGGGGTGATTCCAAACCCCGGCGCTGTCTCTTCCCCTCTTCGTAGGGGGTACGCCTCGTGCAAGCCCCTGGGGCAGCCACGCTCAGTGCGCACCTACACGTGCATCACCTGTGCATGCAGACCTGTGCACACTCAGCGCCCCCATGCAAGCACGCACACACAAACCGTGTACACAGGCACATATGCTCGCTCTTGGGCATGTCCGTGTACACACCCCTGTGTCCCCACACCTGTGCATACATGTACAACCTGGTGCACACGCCTCTTGTGTGTAAGCATGCTCACTTGTGCACATGCTTCCTGTACACACCCAAATCATGCGTGCACACACACACACTCGTCTACACATCGTACACACACCCCTTATGTACAGACAAGCCCCTGCACAAACACCCTCGTGCATGTGCACACAGCCCCTGTGCATACCCTTCTGCACACACCTGTGCAGGCACACACGCACACCTGTGCACACAGCCCCTCTTGCGTGCCCATGCACAGGCCCTCTCTGCACACCCACCCTCATGCTTACACACACCATGCATGCACACACACATACCTGCACACCGCCCCTCCTCATGCATGCCCACGCACACACCCTCTCCGCATGCATGCCCACACCTGTGCACGCACACGCCGACACACCTGCACATGCACAAACACACCTGCGTGCCCTGCTCCTCATGCGCGCCAGTGCACACACCTTCTCCACATGTACACCCGCCCTCGTGCAAACACACACACCCGTGCCCCACCCCCATCCCACACAGCTCCGGGCTCCCCGCACCTGGGCGGGCGGCGTGGCGGGCGCAGGGGCGCCGAAGGGGAAGTCCTCGGAGGCGGGCGAGCGCACGTAGCAGCTGGAGGACGACTCGCTGGTCACGATGGTGCCAGGCTTGGGCAGCATCTCCTTGCGGCTGTTGGACGAGGACTCGCTGTCCGTGTGCAGCTGCGGGTGGGGAAAGGGAGTGAGCCTGGGACCCCCGCCCCGGGGCAGAGCACCCCTTCGGTCTCTGCCAGTCTCCCATCCAGGCACCGACCGCACCCAGCCCTGCTTAGCTTGCGAGCCCAGCTGTACCCTGGTCCCCAGCAACCCCCCGCCAAGGGAGCGTCTGCACCCCCTGACTCACCGCGGCCGCGTCGTCCATGCCGTTGGCATCGTCCTGGGAGGAGGAGGAGGAGGAGGAGGATGGCGAGAGGGAGCCTGGGGTGGATGGAGAAGTAGCTGGAGTTTGCTCCCCTAAAACCGGCCCCCACATCCCTGCACCCCCAAAACCAGACCCCCTAGGTACCCAGAGAGACCTTTGCACTCCGAACCCCCCCCAATAACCAGCTAAGCACCAGCCCCCCCAAATCAGCCCCCCTGAATACCCTACCAGCCCCCAGCCTCCCCAAATCTACCCCCTGGGTACCCACCCAGGCCCCTGCACCCTAATCCCACCCCCCTAGATACCCCATCAGCCCCCCCACAGTTACCCAGCCAGGCTCCTGCACCCTTATCGCACGCCCCAGATATCCCACCAGCCCCCCAAATCTACCCCTGGGTACCCCACCAGGCTGCTGCACCCTGATCCTACCCCCTGGATACCTCCCCAGGGGTACCCAAGGAGGCTGATACCTCCCCCCCCAGGCCCTGGTGCCCCCCACCTCGGGCGAGCTCGTCGAGGGCGGCCTGGACGCGGGTCTCGAAGGCGGCAGCGTCTGCGGGGCTCTGGAAGGTCAGCCCGAACTTGCCATCACCCCCACGCCAGTGGTGGAAGATGGGGTTCACCTTGTTGTAGACGACGTCCCGCCGCAGCGTGCACTCCAGGATGGTCTGGGGGGGGGGGGGGGACGGGGGCACAGGTGTCAGGGAGGACTCCGGCATGGCCCCCCGGACCCCCTCCAGACCGGCACGCTCTCCCCGCTCCCCGCCAGGAGCTTACTGCCTGGTCGCGGAGCCGCTCGCCGCGGATGAGGTAGTGGCGGGGGGGGAGCCCAGAGGTCGCGACG